TGGTTGGGGAATAAACCTTTGAGCGATCTAAGCTGAACCAGAGAAAGGTCTTGATTGTCTTTAATTGGATAAGAATCAGAATAAATCTTCGGGCGATTTAAACTAAACCAGAAAAGTGTCTACTAGAAAAGAATCAGGATAAATCATTGGTAGATTTAAATTGAACCAACAAATGTCTCTTTGAGAATGACCTTCTGAGGAAATTGCTGAAATAGCCCTTCATCAGATGTAGCCTTTGAGAAGACGGTCAGGTCATATAAGTAGTTGATGATGTTTGTTGGTTGGTCTTTCCTGAGAGGGTAAAGAGTTAACTATATGCAATGTCATGATATATGAAATGTATTGCGCAATGATGTTCTCAAAACGAATGAGACTATGTTATATGCGTTTCTTATGCATATGATATAACATTTGGTAAATGATGTATGCATGTGACATGTTTTTGAAGTGCATTTGTAAACTCGAGTAGTATCTTTGTCTGGGGAAAATAAATCCCTGAATTTCGTTGGGGATTAAGAGTATGTGTATCTTCGATCTTCTAGGGATTGTTTCTGCTAGGGACCCCTGCTTGCTGGTTTGAGGAAACTCTGCTGGGAAACACGTATTTTTTCTCTTTGTTTGAGGAAACTTGGTTGGAAAGTATTAATTCCTGCTTGGGGAGAAGAATTCAAGAACATTGGTTGTTCATTGCTCTATTGGGGAATTTATACCCTGAGTGGGGATGGAAGAGGTGGATAACCTTCCGACTTATCTGGGGAAGATAAGGTTGACTGGTATTTGATTTGGTTCTAGGTTCCATAACAACTCTCTGGGGATAGTGACAACTTTACTGGGGAGAGGAAATTTGGTCGATGATTTATGGTAAAAGCATACTCAAGCTGGGGAGTGTCAGAATAAATCTATGCCTTGATTGTATTTGAAGATGTATTGAATGGGTATCAGAATGATATCCATATCTGGACTGTATCTGAACCGTGTCTGAAAGATGTACTGAATGAGTATCAGAATGAATCTGTATCTTGATTGTATTTGAAATATATCTAGAAGATATACTGAATGAGTATCAAAATGAATCTATATCTTGATCGTATATGAACTGTATCTGGAAGAGAAATCTGGAATGAGTCCCAGAATGAATCTATATCTTGATTGTATCTGAACTGTATTTAGAATAGAAATCTGGGATAAGTGCCAGAATGAATTTATATCTTGATTGTATCTGCACTGTATCTAGAAGTGGATCTGGAATGAGCGTCAGAATAAAATCTATATTTAGATAGTATCTAAACTGTATCTAGAAATGGATGTGGAATGAGTGTCAGAATGAATTTGTATCTTGATTGTATCTTCATTGTATCTAGAAGAGAGCCTATAATGAGTGTCAGAATGAATCTATATCTATATTATATCTAAACTATATCTAGAAGATGATAAACTGTTGGAGAAATAAACCTTGTTAGGGAAATACTCTTGTTGAGCAAACACCCTTGTTAAGGAAATGAACTCTGCTGGAGAACAGAAGTCTGAAAGGGGTTTTTACAACCTTGGAGGAACAAGCTCCACTGGGGAAGAGAAACTCTATGAACTATACTGATTGGAACTTCGTAGGTTGGTGATATTTCTGGGGCTAAAAATCATACTCATTTGTCATCCAGAGTGATTTGCCGGGGAAATTGCGGGGAACGTATAAACTTGTGAAAATTACTCTGTGGGGATTTGTGGATGGCTTGAATCTACAACATTTGTTGTCTCTGGCAACACTTTTTTAGGTAACATGTAGAAATTGTTGCCTTAAATTCATATAGGCAACGATTTACGATTGTTGTCAAAAATATGTTTGCAACCCTTGATAATCGTCGCCTAAAATACTTTTGGGACGTTTATGGAGCGATACTCTTTTATTTTTTTGCCAACGGTTGTTAATTGTGCCCTTAACTGCTTTTGGGGACGATTTTAGAGCGTTAAAATATTATTTCTTTAGCAATGTTTGACAATTGTCCCCTAAAATATTTTTGGGGACATTTTTAGATTGTTACATTAGTTCTAATAAAAGGCTACATTTCTGAAATGTTGTATAAATTTTTTTAGAATTATCAAATTTTTGGTGGCAATCTTCCCTCCAAAACTTATACACTAAAAAACAAATATTTTTCTCTAAACATTATTAATATATATAAAAAAAAATATTTTTCTAACACAGGAATTTAAAAATAAAAAATTTCAATTAAACAGAAAATAAAAAATTATATATATATATATATATATATATATATATATATATATATATATATATATATATATATATATATATATATATATATATATATATATATATATATATATATATATATATATATATATATATATATATATATATATATATATATATATATATATATATATATATATATATATATTAGTCTAAAACTTATATATATTTCAATTAAACATGAATTTTTCTAACACATTATTAATATTTCTCTAAAACTTATATATATTAAAAAAAATTTCATTAAACAGAAAATAAAAAATTTTCTAACACAGGAATTTAAAATATTTTTCATTACTAGTCCTCTCAATTATTGCCACGTCTTATTAAAAAGAATAGAAAATAAAAAAAATAAAAAGAAACAGATAAGGAAAACAAAAGCAGCAGCTTTCGATTCTCCTTCTTTTTTGTTCACACATTTTGCCGAACCTAGCCGCGCTCTCAGACGCACCGTTCTTCATCCGCTCCGAGTCAAACCTCTTTCGTTCACACCCTCCGCCGTGTTCTTCGTCACTCCATCCAACTTCCACGCCGTGTTCGTCGTCCACGTCGTCGTACGTTCGTCGTTCGCCGTCCAACTGCTTTCGTCCACGTCGTCCGCCGTCCACGTCGTCCGCCGTCCACGTTGTCCAAGTCGTCCACTGTGTTTGTATGTATTTCTGCATTTATATTTCGATCTCCATTTCGTATCGTTGTGTTTGAGTTGAATCTGAGTGTTTTGATGGTTGTTTGAGTTTGTGTGGGCATTTTCATATTTGTTGTTGATATAATAAGTTGACTAGTAGTATTATCTTTTGCAGCATACTGCCAAGTTCCACTAGTAGTAGTACTACCTTTTCTTGAATTGAAATTAATTACATGAAATTTTTTTTTAGGAGTAGTAAATTTATTTTGTTATTTGAATATGTATATGGCAATTGTAGTAGCAGATTAGTAAAAGGGACATGACAGATATTGGGTAGATATTCTGTCAATTGTAGTAGCAGATTAGTACCAGACGAAATTCTATTCAATTTCTTTCACAAGGTTGATGGAAAATGATGGAAAAGATTACATAAACACTTTCACAATTTCAATCAATATAAATATTACAGTACTCCCATGTTAATGTTTTTTTCTGATGTGAAAGTAGGTTTCTTATTTTGATCTTGATCTTTGTAACTCATAATTGTGTACATTTCACATGTGGCTTTTCACACAATTTACTTGCATTCTATTTTGGTTGATACTTTATTACGTGCATGATGCGATTCGCGCAATGTTAGCTTAGTTTCTTTTGAATTGTCACTGTTAAGGTGTTCATGTATATGTATGTTGTTGTACGGTGTTTTACGGTTTGGTGTTGTTTAGTTTGGACAACATAATTGTGTATGTATTAGCCACAAGAGAACTCTCCTTTAAATTGGACAACATATATAATTGGACAGCATAATTGTTTTACGATTTTACTGTGAGCGATGCTCATTGTTTTGTTAGCATGAAGTTTATTAGCCACAAGAGAACTCTCCTTTAAATTGGACATCATATATAATTGGACAGAATAATTGTTTTAACTCTCAGTATGTTTTATTGGACATCATATATAATTGGACAGCATAATTGTTTTATGATTTTACTGTTAGCGATGCTCATTGTTTTGTTAGCATGAAGTTTATTAGCCACAAGAGAACTCTCCTTTAAATTGGACAACATATATAATTGGACAACATAATTGTTTTAACTCTCAGTATGTTTTATTGGACAACATATATAATTGGACAACACCATGTGCATATATAATTGTTTTACGAAACTCTCCTTTAAATTGGACAACATATATAATTAGTTAGATAACTCTCCTTTAAATTGGACAGCATAATTGTTTTAACTCTCATTATGTTTTATTGGACAACATATATAATTGGACAGCACCATGTGCATATATAATTGTTTTACGAAACTCTCCTTTAAATTGGACAGCATATATAATTAGTTAGATAACTCTCCTTTAAATTGAACAACATATATAATTGTTTTACGAAACTCTCAGTATGTTTTATTCATGGTGGTATTCTATTCCTTTAAATTTTATATGATTAGTTAGATAAATTACTTTCTACTCTTTAAGTTTTGCATGAGTAAATACCTATATTATTCCATGGTGGCACTTTATTAGATAGCTATTACAATATTGGTTCTTTGTTCAATTTTGTTTAATAAGTTTGTAATTGTAATTGCATTTCATTTTCTCATTTTCTAATTATTTGTCTTTAGATCATTCACCGTCGTTGTTTCGGTTAAACCTCAATAGATATTTCATCGGTTTCAACATTGTTTGGGAAAGAAACGTCTCCGTTTCATTTACTAGCTTTGTTGTTGTTGTTGCAGTGAAGGAAGTTGTGTTGAAATCGAAGTCGCTTGTAACTAAGGACAAGATTTTAGTTTCTATTACTGTTGGAATCAAGTTGAAAGAATTCAGGTAACAGATACATATTATATAGTTTGAAAAGAAACAACAAATACATATTATATTAGACTATGAAATGTTTGTGCATGTTTAGATTAAAAGTTCACCAATTTATTCTATGTTTGGTATTGGAATGCATGTTTAGTGTATATTTAGATTATAAATGAAATTTTTATAATAACTATGCATTTGTAAAAGCTACGTTGATATATGAACCATGGTGTTTTTCCATCCTTTATATGATAAAGAGTAATGTATAATTTATTTCATTTTAGAAAACCAAACATGATAAAGAAGGATTGGGTGGAGTTACCTCCACACAGTCAAAGTTATAAGGACGGTGTAAATTACTTTTTGAATATTGCATTCACCAAAGGAATGGTTGAAGAAGAAGAGATTTTGTGTCCTTGTTCTGTATGTTGCAATGATAGTTGGGAAGTAAGAGATGTAGTGTATGACCATTTATGTAGTAAAGGATTTGTAAAGGGATACACTGAATGGATTTATCATGGTGAAGATGAGAGTCTTATAGATCTTGATGGTGATAGTGATGATGAAACATCATCTCATGATGATATCGATGGCTTACTATTTGAGACATTTAAAGATGTGGCTGAAGGAGGTGGAGTACATGAAGGGATAAATGAAGATGCAAAGAAATTTTATAAACTAGTTGATGATGCAAATCAAGAGTTGTATCCTGGTTGTGAAAAGTTTTCCTTGTTATCATTCACTATTCGAATTTATTTGTTGAAATGTCTCCATGGATAGAGTAATGCATCATTCACTGCTCTCGTAGAGTTGTTAAAAGAGGCTATGCCAGATTTGAACATCCCTGTCTCTTTCAATAAAACAAAATCTATGATAAAAGATTTGGGCTTAGACTATAAAAAGATTGACGCATGTCCGAACAACTGCATGTTGTTTTGGAAAGATCACGAGAAAGATGATTCATGTCATATTTGTAGCACGTCAAGGTGGATTGAATATCCTGAAGTTGCTAATGATCTTGAAGAATCTATAAAAGCTCATAAGGTTCCCGCCAAAGTTCTAAGACATTTTCCATTGGTCCTAGTGAAAAAGTAGTATCTGACTTGAGCCTCTTCTTGGGAACATTGGCTAGGAACTCAACATTTTGTCCTCTACGTTACACCAATTGGTCAGGAATGCCAGATGATAACAAAAACCGTTTCTGGAGATATACTAATGTATGTTTTTATCTATGAATTTGAAAGTCTAATTATTAAAAAAAAGTGTTTCATTTCTTGATCTTGTCTTATCTTATAATTTATGTAGCGGAAGTTTATCTTGCCGGTTGAAGCACGAGATTGGATTGAGACCACTGTTAGAGAGGCATGGAGAAGATATAAGCACAAAATTAATAAGAATCATTTTTTGAAGTATTCCAACATGACCGAGAGACTCAAAAATCGTCCGCCAAACGTGCCAATAGCCCAGTTTAAGAGTCTTTGTGCTTATTGGAGTAAGGAAACTATACAAGTAAGATTAAAATTTTTTTTATGTATGTGTGTGAATTTACACCTTTCTATGTATGCCATAATTAAGTAATATTTATTATAATAATTCTGTCAAATTTAAATGTAGGCAATCAGTGAAAATAACACTAGAAATAGAGCTCAACTAAAGTGGATGCATCGAATGGGTCCCAAAAAATTTGCTTTGACTCGTGAAAAAGTGGTAACTTTCTTTTGTTCTCAATAAATTATTCCTTGTATGAATGTTTCTTTGTTCAATTAAAGTATTCGTGAAAAACTTTTCTTTGACTCGTGAATAGGAATTTTAATTCACATAATTTGTTATGGAATTATTTTGATTTGTGCAGCGTGAAAAGGAAAAAAGAGAGCCCACTCAATCAGAAATGTTTGTTGAAACTCGAAAAGGAAATAAAGGAAAGGAACTGGATGTAGAAACTGGAAAAGTAATTGTATGTAACATTGTTTATATAATACGTTTGCTTAATATAATCGGCCAACATTGTCTATAATAGTAGCTAATATTTTTTTTTTGTAATTTATGCTAGTCCCAACTTCAAGAAATGGTTGAAAAGGAGGAAAGTGATACAGAAGCTTTTAAAGTTTTTTTTGGAAAGGAGTGTCCAGGCAGGGTACGCTGTTATGGGAGAAACATAACTAAAACTTCCTTAAAGAGAAAGGCAGAGATTAATGCTTTGAAACAAGCCCACAGTGAAGAGGTCTCTACATTAAGGGACGAGTTTCAAGATAAGATTGATAGATTGCAAAATGCTTTTAAGACCGTAATACAACAATGCAATCCTCAAATTAATATAGAGTCAATTGAAGATTTGTTAGGATTATCTCATGGAGATGCTAATAGTTCCCCAAAGGATATAAGACCGCAAATGCATTCATCTACATCAACTCATGCTCCATGTCATGGAAAGGTAACCATATATACCAATATTATTGATTTATATTTTTCTAATTATGTTATAGTATCAAAATGGTTGTTAATGTATGCAAAAATTTGCAAGTAGTGACAACACCTAGAATAAAGTAAGTGGTTGAAATTGTTTAAGTAGTGACAACACCTAGAAGTGGCTGAAACTGTTTTATTTGTGCGAGCTTTCATTGATATTTCACAAACATACTTGCCTGGGATAAGATTATGGAACCCCCTTGTTTGATAACACTCACTATGTATGCTGTAAATTTATCCATATGATACTGAACACCAAAGAAGATACAACAAGTAAGAGTGTTCATCAGAGTTCATTTACTCCAAAAAATAAACATAAAAGGATAGCACAAGTTATACATACATACATACATACATACAGTTAAAGGCTATTGTAAGTCCTGAATAGTGAGCCAAAAACAGAATGGTTTTCATAATTGATTTATTTGCTAGCAAGCTCATGTCACCTATTACAGTTTAGAACGGAAATTCACATCCATTAAAAACCTTCATAATTAATTCACATCCATGAGATGTGAAGAATATAAACAATGTGTTTTGCTCATTGGTTTAGTTTTTATTTGTGCGAGGTTTAATTCTTGTTGATGTCTTAATTGTCCTTTGGACCAAAAATACTTATGGTTAATGTGTTTTATTTTATTTTCTTATGCAGTAATGTATCAATGAAGATGTTGAAAAGGACAATATAAATGATGAAATTCAAGAGGACGACATAAATGATAAAATTCAAGAGGACGACCTAAATGATAAAATTCAAGAGGACGACGTAGATGACGAATTTCAAGAGGATGACATAGATCTAGATGATGAATTTCAAGAGGAGGATATAGATGGTGAATTTCAAGAGGACGACGTAGATGAAGAATTTATGGAGGATGACATATCTAACGAATTTCAAGAGGACGATCTGGATGCTTTACTCCTAGAAGACAAACTTGAATGAGTTGGATGATGTCTTTTTTTTGGCTTGTAGTTGAAAGCATTAAACTTGAAATATGATTTTTGTTCTTTTGCTGAACTATGTTTTTAGTTATTTTACTAGGGTCATACTTCAAAGTATTAAAAGTAATATTGTTACGTTAGGCATTTTGTGTACTCTATATACTATATCTTGAATTAAAGTTTGAACTCGATTTTATTATATTACAACTTTTATGGATGTATGATTTAAGTTATATAATCAATATTATTTTTGAAGCCAATTATTATTGACTATATTATTTTGATAATAATTGCAAAATTGTATATTTTATGTGGACACTATAAAACAACAACCTATAAGCTATGGCTACACTTCAAAAACGATCTTCCTGATTCAGGTTTAAGGCAACGATTGTTAATTGTAGCCGAATTTGGCAACGCAACGCTTAAAAAACGTTGTCTCAGAGGCCGTAAATAATCGTCCCCTATTCCTTTACTATAGGCGACGTTTTTCAAAAGCGTTCCCAAAAAACATTAAAAAAAACGTCGCCTCAAACAATAGGCAACGCTCGCACAGGAGACGCCTAGAAAACGTCCCCCTATTGTTTTAGGCAACGATTTTCAGAGTTCTGGCAACGTTTTTCAATTGTTGCTGGAGAGCTTAAATGTTGTAGTGGAACATTATCCTAACTACTAGAGTCTTGAGTAAACACTCATTCTTGTTTTTATGAATTTGCAACTGTCAATTGTATTCATATGCATATTATTGTATCCCAAAATTTGCCCTCTCATTTTATCAAGATTTCCCCTCACAAGACTCTTTGGACTCCAGACAGAATTAGGGTTTGCTCTGCTCAAGACATCTCCTTGCACTGATGACCTGAAATTAGATTTGAGTTTGCACAAGGATTTTTGGACTTCCAATGCTCAAAGTGACTTTCATAATTCATGTTAGACCTATAAGATTGACCATACCAAGTTTCAAGCTTTGAATCAAATTTTTGCCCAGTGAATTGCACAATTGACCTAGAAATCAATTGTATTGGGGAAAAAGTCAATTGTGGCAATTTACAGTCAAACCTCATAATTTTTTATCCATATCAACATTATAGGCTCATATGAGCCATTTGATCAAGTTTGGACCACAACTCCTCAAGAAATTTGATCAAATCATCAAAAGGGTAAAATGGTCATTTTTAGGGTTTTAACTGTATAAGGGCAATTTCTGATTTTTCACCTAGCCAATGGAAAATTGGGTTCAAACAAGGATTCAAGGACTCAATGGCATCATCTTGAACTAATCACAAGGTCCAAAATATCTCAAAAAGCATTGGATTGACAGATGAATTTTCCAGTCAACTGATCAAAAATCAACTGTACACTGAAAAGTCAAACTTTGACTTTTTGGTCAAAATCAAGTGCCAAGGGTCATTTTTCATCAAGATATGTCAAAACATGAAACTTGTTCATCAAGAAACCTAATTTTGGAAATTAGGGTTTAAGATTGAAAATTTTCATAACTTAGAAATTTTCTAAGTTATGAATTTTTCTTATTTTTTTTTCAACTTTGCCCAACTTTTTCACCATGATGCAATTGGATTCAAACAAAACTTCCAACATGAAAGTTGTATTCCTCCACAAAATCTACAACTTTTATTCACAAAGTTTTCCCAAAAGATGCTTGGATATCAAGTTATGATTTTGTGAACAAGGGTCCATGAAACTTTTAACTTAGTGAAATTTTGCCCTAGTTTAGGCAGGATTTTGACCTATCTTCATGGAAATTTTTAACCTAGTTATAATTGGAATCTCAAAATGCATTTCAAATATGGATTGTATAGCATGTTACAAGCTTTCCAAAATGTCCAAGAACTCTCCAAAATCATTTATGGTTATGGAGAATCGATGGTTTGAATTTGGCAAAATGTCACTTTGATCCATGGCATTTCTCATGTTGCTACAAGTTGCAATTTCTACCCAGCCTTGCTTGTACTTGCTTACAGGTCTTTAAACCCTTCCACACTTAAAAATTGAATGCAAACACAAAGGATTAAGGCATTGTTCTGAACTTTAGAGGTTTACACATTGAATTAATCTAAAAATGGCAAAAAGGCAACATTGCCACTTTGATAAAGTTGGCTTTATGTCAAGTTGTTCCTCTTGAGCCAAGGACCCAATCTTTTGCATCAAACAAATTTCACTAATATCAGGAAATTGTTACCAACTCTTGGAAGACCCTAAGCTAGATGGTACAACACTTTGCTTTATCTTTTCACACTTTTCTTCAAAACCAAGTCAACTTGCCAAAACCACAGAACTCTTGTATATGATAAAACCAAGTGTTGTAACCATTCCAAACTTTTTTTTCATATTGCCTAAGGTTAGAAACACGAGCTAGCCAGTCCTCAAACACCCTTGAACACCAAAACACCAAAAACTTGCAAAACAGGGCAGCTTCTACATTTTGATTTCCAAAACAAAAACTACTCGTGCATTTTGCCCCAAACCTTTTCCAACACACTCCATACAACCCACCTAAGTTATCCCAACCATTGGCCAACAACTGTAACCTTGTTTTCAAGCTTCACCATTTTTGAATTCTGACTGTGCAGGTTGACTTCTACAAGCTTATTCAGGCAAGCTCAAAGCTAGCTAAGCATTGGGAAAGCTCCAAGGAACTTCAAGCAAGCTCACAAGCATCTCAGGCCTCACTGAAAACCCCTACATTGCCATACTCGAGTTCAACTGAAACAGGTAAAGTTCAAACTTCTATCTCTCTATTTAGGAAACATTAGGCTTAGCTTTGTGAATAAAAAATGTAGTACTCATTGCCCTTAAGCTATACATACGCATAGATTTCATTTAAGTTAACTGTGTTGGGAGAATTTGAATGATGAACTTTCTGAAAAAGTTAGGTTAGAAATTAGGGCCAGATAAATTCTCTCTGGTCTTTGAGAGTTAGATTAAGTTCTTTACATGGTTGGAATCGTGTTTGAAAATGCTATAACTTTTATGTTGTGAGTTTTTTATTTAATGCAAGAACTAGAGAGAACAAGATTCTTGTGTAAGAGCCATGGCGCGCGTTCTGGAGGACAGGGATGAAGATGGAATGGGTTGGGTCTTACTTGGCCTTGCTGTTTGCACTCCCCATTGTGCTTTCTGCACCCCTCAGCCCATTTGCTTAGTTTCCATATTTTTTTCATTTCTTTTTTTAGTTTCTGACTTTATTTTATTTTTATAAACATTAAAAAATGTCAAAAATATTTTCATAAATTTTCATTTTTTTTCTAGCATAGAAATAATTACTTTGATAATATACTTATATTTTCTTAAAATAAATTCATAAATAATAATAAAAATATTTTATTTTTATTTTTATTATTTATATACTTAAATAATATTTTTTCTCACATATTTTTTATTTTTTAACATTTGTATATATTTTTATTTATTTGATTGTACATAAATAAATAATTATGGATATATATATATATATATATATATATATATATATATATATATATATATATATATATATATATATATATATATATATATATATATATATATATATATATATATATATATATATATATATATATATATATATATATATATATATATATATATATATATATATATATATATATATATATATATATATATATATATATATATATATATATATATATATATATATATATATATATATATATATATATATATATATATATATATATTATATATATATATATATATATATATATATATATATATATATATATATATATATATATATATATATATATATATATATATATATATATATATATATATATATATATATATATATATATTTCTTAAAACAAATTAAGGTTTTCCCCTTTAATAAAAATAATCTTTTATTTTCTTATTTTTGTAAATTAAATAGTTTATTTTTACATACATAAAAATAATACAAAAACATTTTTTTTGCATATTTCTAATATATTGCATATTTATTTAACTGTCCATTTAAATATTTGCCTATTTATTATTTGAACAAAGAATTCAATATGGTTGTAATAATTTTAGGGTTTCAATTTCTTGCAAATATCCCCTATTCAAATTTGTATCCCCCTCCCCATATCAATGTTGTAATAGCTTAGATTACTTTTACGCATTTTATTGCTTTCAAATATGCCATGATAGCAAGATTAGGGTTTGTATGCAAAAATCCAAAATCAACAAATAGCTTGACTAATACAAGACAATAATGCATGAAAATGACAACACAATGCACACAAGCACCCCTAGGGTTTCATCCACTTGTTGCCTTTAAAATGGCCATGGTATGCATGCTAGGTATCTTGGAAAAACAAAATCAAAACAAAAGATCATAGTCCCTCGATGATGCTATCTTGGTTTCCAAACAAAAATGATCTAGTCCCTCAAAATTTTGCTAAAGATACTTGGCACAATTGCTATCATGGTCAATACGATGACCCGCGCCTGTCCTGTTTAACATCCAAATACAAGGTTGTTTACCAAATGCAATGGTAAAACAACATTGTCAAAGGGTTAAAAATGTGTAGGAAAGACTTTTGAGTAGGTAGGTAGATGCCCCTAGTTACTTGATCAAAGCTTGCAAACGTCCTTTCTATTTTCAAACACACATCACAACACAATTTCAAAACATTTCCCAAAACAAACTTTCAAACATTGAAACATTTTTCAAAAGACAAACACCTTTGTATACATTCAAACAAGAATTATTACAAAGGTTGCCTAGACAAAGGCATCTTTTCAAAAATATTTTCAAAAACCACACACAAAAGCACCATTTCAAACAATTGAAAAGCAAAAGCAAGTGATCTAAAACAAGTAACTAAGAGCCCATGGAAAACCATGGATGAAAAGGGTGCTAGCACCTTTCCTTTTCATAATCTACCCCTCGAACCCAAGAAAACATCTCAAAGGTCTTTCCTGTGCTTTTTGACCTTTCCTTTGGATAAATAAAAAGTCGGTGGAGACTCTTGCTAA